CCCCATATGATCAGCAAGATATGATCTGTCATCCCGAAGATCTGCTTGATATAGAAAGCATTTAACTTGACACTATATAGAATATATCAATATGTGTAACTAGAAGGCAAATTTCTTATATTGTTCCTTACCTAGCTTTGTTCCAACAAGGATAATTGGAACATTGGGTGCAAATCGACGCAACTCTGGCATCCACTGAGAACAAATTAAATGGATACTTCAGTTATTTGTGCATTAGGAACTTGCAAAAGATAAGACTTAACAAAAGCTCCTATGAAAAACAATCCAAAAATTTCCATACCAAGATGAGATTATTAATTGTCAAACATTATAGAAGAATGTAACCATAATACTAAAGGAATGAAGACAGTTACCTTCTTAAGAACATTTTCATAGCTTGCCCTACTAATCAATGAGAAAGCCAGAACAAATATGTCTGCACCTCGGTAACTCAGTGGCCTCAATCTGCTATAATCTTCCTGACCTTTAAATCAAAAGAAGAAGCAAAATCAGTTAGAAGAAAAGCCCTAAATCCATCAAAATCATTCATGTAGAAACACAGAATAACTCAAGCAAACTCAAATACCTGCAGTATCCCATAGCCCCAAATTCACAATGCTTCCGTCCACAGCCACATTGGCACTGAAGTTGTCAAACACTGTTGGTATATAATCCTGGCAGGAAAAAGGAAAGAAAAAGTAGCAAACCATATTAGGGACATAGAAAGAAAGACGCAGTGCTTAATAGTTTCAAACCCCAGAAAGAAGGATTTATGGGGTAAAAAAAATTAACATCTAGACCCATTTCAAGTTTTCAAAAACCCCCAGAAAAGAGTACATAAATGAAAAAAAAAAACAAGTGAAATAAGAGCAGAGTAAGGGTTTTTATCAGCTGGGTCTCCTTGAAAAACTTACAGTAGGGAACTTGTTGCTGGTGTAGCAAATAAGCATACATGTCTTCCCAACAGCTCCATCTCCAACAGTAACACATTTAATGAACCTTGAAGCACTCATCCCCTTTAAAACCCACAGTAAGTACCCAGCCAACACAGCTAATAATTTAAGTCCTTTAAGAGTTCAGTTACAGAAAGGAAAGTGTTGCAGAGAAAAGGTTTGAGGAAGGAAGAAAGGAATAAGAAAGAAATGAGGAAAAGTGGGTGGAGTTGAGGAAGTGGGGGTTGATACATAGAAGGGGTTGCTTGCAATTTCAAGAAAAACCCATTAAAAATTAGGAAAAATTTAAGCTTGTGAGTGAATGCACGTTGCACAGAGAGAGAGAGAAAGAAAGAGAGAGAGAGAGAGAGAGAGGGGAGGTGTAGTCAATACGGTCTTAACTGGATACTGCACTTTATCACCCCTCTCAATAGATTTCAAATGAATCTAATCCAACAGAAACATTTTTTTGAAATGCAGAAAACATGGGTCCCTCTCTAACGGCCCCTATGGCTATGGCCCCTCTCGTGTTGTTTGTTTACAGCTCGATTTCGTAGTTGATTTAAAAATATCGGCCTCACCTAGAGCTTGCTTTCTTTCTTTTTTTTTTTTTTTTTTTGGAATCTCGTAGAGTATTTTTATTATTTCCAAACATAATTTCTTATATAAATTTAGGGTAAAGTTCATTTCATCCTTAACCTTTCTTTCCTTTTTCATTTCTAACCTTTTTAATATGTGAGGCTTTCATCACCAACCTTCATTTCACCCACTAATAGTCCCCAAACTTTTGAGAAATTTTCACCTTTACTCCTACCACAATTCGACTTGTTAAATCTAATGAAAAATGATGATGCAGGGAGTAAAAGACCCTTAATTAATCCTTTAACATTTAGCCCTTGTTTGGATTGGTAAATTCGAAGGCGGAGTAGAGGAGAGTGAGGGGCAAATGTCTCTCTTACTTTGTTTATTTTTCTTTGTTAATTGAGAGGAAAGGAGGTGGAGGGGTGATAAAATCCTCTCCACCCCTTTATTTTTCATCATTTCAATTTGGAAAGATTAGAAAGGAATTGATTTACGCATTTAATATTTTTTAAAAAATAAACATATAAAAATATTTTATTTTAATTATTGTTTTAATTAGTAAATTTTAAATATTTTATTTTATTTTATTTTAAATTATTTAATTAAATAAAAATATTTTCTTTTCCTCTACTTTCATTTATATAAACAAGATTAATATGGACTTTTTCTTTTCTTTCCTTCTCCTCCTTTCCCTTCCTTTCCCTCCCTTCCTTTTCTTTTACTAATTTTTATCTAAACAAACTGTTAGTTTGGATTGGGGAAATTGGAAGGGAAAGGAAAGAGAATGAGGGAGAGATACTTCTTTTTGATATTTAGATTACTTATTTAAAGAAAAAAAGGAGAGATATTGAGAGGGGATTGTGAGGGATTGGCTTTATACATTTAATTTTTTAAATTTTATTCTAAAACATAAATATAAAAGTATTTTATTTCAATTATTTTTTAATTAACAAATTAACAAATTTTATTTTTTGTTTTATTTTTCTTTAAATTATTTAATTAATTAAAAAGATTATTATTTCCTCCCCTCCCTTTCCTTTCTTTTCCTTTACTAATTTTTATCTAAATAAGCATTAACTAGAACCACTTTATGATGTGAAGAAGAGAAAATGATGACACAAGCATTCTCCTACTTAAAGAGCCCATTGAGATCCTCATTATTGGCCATATCATCATTTTTCAATAGATTTACATCTAAATTAACATAACAACCAATTGTAGACAATTTCTAAAATGTTAGAGACCACTCGTGGTATGAAATGAAGGTTACAAATGAAAGTGTCCTGTATCAGAAAGATTAGGGACGAAAGAAGGACTTTACCCATAAATTTCTGAGAAAGGTCGATGCGTGGCAGAGTTTTTTATGAGTCGAAGTATTTTTCCCCTTTTCTCCCAAAAAAAAAAAGAAGAAGAAGTATTTTTCCCATTTCCTAACATTAAAAATTTGTTAGAGAAAAATGAACTTCAATATTTTTCACGAATACTTTAAATGTTATTAATTATTGTAAGAGTGAATTTATTAATAAATAAATATTATATTATAATTTAATTTTAATTTTAAGTTTCAAATTAAAATTAAAAAAATTAATATTTTTAGATATTTTTAATGAATACAAACATGTGCCGTCAAAAATCAATCAAGCTGACACACCCTTACCGGAAATATATATAAATATATAAATATATATAAACACTCTACAACTTAATTATAAGCATTAAATCTCATTGATTACTTAATAAGTATATTTACTATATTAATAATAATTAAAGTTTAAATTACGATATTATAATATTATAATTTTTCATCTTATACTTTAAATTGTACTTGAGAACGATTTCATGATTTAGCGTCCGGGTTTTTTTTTTTTAATAAAAGGTTTCTCTTGTTAAACTTAGTGGTTGTGAAGTGAAGTTTGAATTTCACTTTTAATGTAAAAAAAAAAAAACGATACTTTTTTTATCAATAAAAAATTTAAAAATAGAAGAATAGTTACAATATTACTGTATTGGTAGTTTGAACTCTTGACAAAGATGCGAAGGGAAAAAGGTCGCAAATGCAAAAAAAATAAAAAAATAAAAAAATAAAACGATACTTGTTAAAAAATAAAAAAGCAATTTAAATTTTAAAAGTGACTCACACTACTGCACTAGTACCTAGGTTATAGCCCAACCCAAAGTCCACTTTTCTAGTCGCCGGGCCCAAACTCCGCGTCCATGATTAATAGAGTCATTGACTATGACATTATTACTAGGGAATATATGGACGAAAGTCTTTCCAGTTTCCACGGATAACTTGCTAGCTAGCTCTCCCCACTGCCACAGGATTCTTTTGTTTTCGGTTTGATTAAAAGGTTTTTAATTTTAATTTCATGCTTTGAATTTTATATCCTTGTAGTTGGTTTAAATTAAAATTTTTGTGGAATTTCAAATTCATTTGCAATTAGTTTTAGAGTAATTCTAATTTCATTCATTCTAA